TTATTGTGTTAATATAGTTTATTATATTGGTTGATTTTCATATGTGGAATCAACCTTGCATTTCTGGGATGAGTCCCATTTGGTCAAGGCATTCTTTATGTTTTTTGGCTTTTTCCAAGTATTGTATCTATATGTATACATATACATATTTCCAAACCTATGTTTTATATTAGAAAAAATAAATGCCAATGAGAAAGAAATGTATTCATCTATTACTTGTAAATAAAAATATATTTATCCTAGAAAATATAATGAAAACAAAAATGTTCATCATAGCTTTATTTATAATACAAAGACAAGCATAGCTTAAATGTTAAATAATTATATAAGGTAATTTCGAGCCGGCGCCGTGGCTCAATAGGCTAATCCTCCACCTTGCGGCGCCGGCACACCGGGTTCTAGTCCCGGTCGGGGCGCCGGATTCTGTCCCGGTTGCCCCTCTTCCAGGCCAGCTCTCTGCTATGGCCAGGGAGTGCAGTGGAGGATGGCCCAGGTGCTTGGGCCCTGCACCCCATGGGAGACCAGGAAAAAGCACCTGGCTCCTGGCTCCTGCCATCGGATCGGATCAGCGCGCTGCGCCGGCTGCAGCGGCGCCCATTGGAGGGTGAACCAACGGCAAGGGAAGACCTGTCTCTCTCTCTCACTGTCCACTCTGCCTATCGGAGAAACGGGGGCCCGAACAAAGAAAAAAAAAATTAAAAAAAAAAATTATATAAGGTAATTTAGAATTTATAATATAAATAATATAAATAATATATGTTTTGGTTATAGATACTGCCCTTCATTGTCCTTTGCTCCTATTTCAGTGAATGGAACCACCTTACACTCAAAGTCCAAGCCCCAAACTTGGGATTCATCTTAAATGCCTTCTGCTTTCTTCTTTCTACACTCTCAATTCAACTTCCGTAGTAACTCATGAACCTATCTGTCTCTAGCTATCTTCATTGCTGCTATCTTAATTTGTCATCTCTACCATCATCTCCAACCCAGATTCTATTGGTATGTCTGCCAACCCCATAAATTCATCACACAGGCACAGAAGGTCTTTTCCTACATAAGAAGATAATTGTTTTCATTCTCTGAGCAATGTTTGCTAGGCTTTTGACAAGTGTTGGGGATGGAATATATAAAATAAAGTCCATACTCTGCAGATGTCATGTTACTTTTTAAACCTCCTTGGTATTTATTACAAACCACAAGCTTTGTGATCTAGCCACTGCCCTACCTTTTCAGACCCATCTTCATAATTTTTATGGGTTAACCCCCCACCCCAGAACTCTGCTGTTTTACCAATCATAATTGTGCTAATTGTGGTTTATATTTTTATTTTTTAAAAGATTTATTTATTTGAAAGGCAGAGTTACAGAGAGAGAAGGAGAGACAGAGAGATCTTCCACCCACTGGTTCACTCCCCAAACAGCCACAACTTCCTGGACTGGGCCAAGCTGAAACCAGGAGCCAGGAGCTTCTTCTGGGTCTCCTGTGCTGATGCAAGGGAGCCCAAGGACTTGAGCCATCCTCTGCTACTTTCCCAGGTGCATTAGAAGGGAGCTGGATAGGAAGTGGAGCAGCTGGAACTCAACCAGTGCTCATATAGGATGCTGACGTTGCAAGCGGCAGCTTAACTTGCTATGCCACAACTCTGCCCCCCCCCCCCCCCTTTTTAAGGATTTATTTTATTTGGAAGGCAGAGTGACAAAGAAAGGAGAGACAGATCTTTCACCTGCTGGCTTACTCCCCAAATGGCCACAGCAACAAGGGCTGGCCAGGCTGAAACCAGGAGCCTGGAATTCTATCCATTTCTCCCACGTGGGTGGCAGGGGTTCAACCACTTTGGCCATTCTCCACTGCTTTCCAGGTGTGTTAGCAGAGACCTGGCTTGGAAGTGAAAAGGCTGAGACTCGAACCAGTACTCATATGGGGTGCTGGTATTGTAGGCAGTAGCTTAACCAATTGCACCACAGTGCTGGACCCTAGTTATGGTTTTAAAATGAGACCTTTTGTTTGTAGTTTTCAGATTTTAAAGTTAATGCTCTGTAATATATATATATATATATTCAGTTCAGTCTAGTTGCTTTTCAAAAACAAGCAAGTGAACAATATCTGGACATTTGGCTGTCTTACAAATACCTCAAACTCAAAATGTTGAAAACTGTTCTTAGAATTTTCTCTGTTTTCATAATCTCAGTGAACACAGCTTTTCATTGTGCTCCATTTGTTTTTAATCACGTTTGTCATTCCTTTTATTTCATTGTTTTTTTTTTTAAAGATTTTATTTATTTATTTATTTCAGAGGTAGAGTTACAGAGAGAGAGAGAGAGGGAGAGAGAGAGAGAGAGAGACAGATAGACAAAGGTCTTCCATCCACTGGTTCACTCCCCAAATGGCCACAATGGCTGGAGCTGAGCCAATCTGAAGCCAGGAGCTAGGCGCTTCTTCTGAGTCTCCCACATGGGTGCGAGGCCCAAGCACTTGGGCCATCTTCTACTACTTTCCCAGGCCATAGCAGAGAGCTGGATCGGAAGTGGAGCAGCTGGGACTCGAACCAGCACCCATATGGGATGCCAGCACTGCAGGCAGAAATTAACTTACTTTGTCACAGTGCTGGCCCCTATTTCATTGTTTATTACTGTATCCTCAGCTTCTAACATTGTTTGGCACATAACAGATGTGTTACTAAAGAATTAATTAAGTGTATATCTGGTAACAAAGTTTAGAAATAACTTCACAGTTTATAAATAACCTGTCTGGATTGACTAGCTTAGTTTCCAGCATGCAGTTTAATACATAAAGGCAATAATTACTATTACTGCTCCCAAATGAGGGTGGTCTCTACCCAGTAAACAAATGAACCAATCTGTGACCCTGGTTTCTTTGGAAAAAAGAAGGCTTTCTCTGTATGTCTGACCACATGGAGACAGTGGTAACATCCAAATCTTTCTCCTCAGTTGGAGATCTGGGGGAAGTTTTACAAATTGCCTAGGGAAATCTGATATGCAGAAACACTGGCAAGGCAAGTTCGGATTGGAGGGGCTGGGATCAGGCCATTTGTGATAAAGTGGACCCCTTATGTATAAGTTCTGGTCATGCTCCTGTCTCCTTGGTTCCACAGATTATATTTTTCCTTCTACACATGCCCACGTGCCTTTGCAGTTATAGCTCTCGTAACAAAATAGGAATGTTTAAAGATTTGAGCAGATATTTATGGCCTGAACCTATTGTTAAAGCATAGGAGGGAAAAGCATTTAGCCTAGAGGTTAAGATGCTCACACCCCACATCCAAGTCCCTGAGATCAATGCCTGGCAACAGCTTCCTGCAAATGCAGACCCTGAGAGGCAGCAGTGATGGATCAAATGCCTGGGTTCTTGCCACCCATGTAGGAGACCTGGATTGAGTTCCTGTACATATTATCCATTTAAAGTATGTCAAAGAAAAAATTTAGCTTAATAATCTTAGTTGGCTTGATTTTCAATTGAATAGAATTGGGCAACACTTAAGTCCATAAAATAGTATAAGTGTTCTGACGGGGCTTCACATTGTGACAGTGGGTTAAGTAAGCCACGGCTTGGGACACCCACATCCCATATCTGAATGACTGGGTTAGAGTTCCACCTTCCTCATGGCCCAACCACTTGAGTCCCTGCAAGCCCTATGGGAGACCTGGATGGCGTTCCTGGCTGCTGGTCTTTGCCTGGCCCTGTTCCTATTGCTGCAGGCATTTGGGGTGTTAACCAATGGATGGAAGATCTCTCTCTCTCTTTGTCTCTCCCTCCCTCCTTTTTCCTCTGTTCCCCTCCCCCTCAAATAAATTAAAGATGACATTTTTAAAAAAGTGTTATGAGCAGAGCAGAAGAGGTTGATTTTATAGACAGGGAAAGGCTGAAGAAAGCATAAGGGAAGAACAATAAAAAAATAATTGACTGACTTGATGTTATTTCAGCCCCCCCCCCTTTTGAGTAAGAATTAGGGCAGAAGGACCTTCATTTTCATGCAACTTGAAACTGGCCTGTTTGGAAAATTTGGCTTTTATCTCTTAAATCCTGATTTAAGGAATGACTTTTATTTTTAGCCTAATCTGTGGGGGCTCACTGCAGGCCTTTGGTCTAAATAGATGGCCTCCTGTAGTTTTTATTTAGCAGGAGCTATAGGAAGGGACATGCAAAAGGATACTGATAGGACCTATGGATGGTAAACTTCTTTTATTCCTGGAAGTATGATATCCTAATTTGTATTATAATAATATGAGCAGCACAATTACAAGGCTGCCTTCTAGGAGCAGGGAGTCAGATATCCTATATAGGTGTGTACCTTAGGACAGATGAGTAGATAATCTTTTTTGTTCAAAAACATTCTCAGAGGCTGGTGCCGCAACTCAATAGGCAAATCCTCCACCTGCAGTGCCAGCACCCGGGTTCTAGACCTGGTTGGGGTGCTGGATTCTGTCTTGGTTGCTCCTCTTCCAGTCCAGCTCTCTGCTGTGATCTGAGAAGGCAGTGGAGGATGGCCCAAGTGCTTGGGCCCTGTACCCACAAGGGAGACCGGGAGGAAGTGCCTGGCTCCTGGCTTCGGATCGGCACAGCACGCTGGCTGTAGTTGCCGTTTGAGGGGTGAACCAATGGAAGGAAGACCTTTTTCCCTGTCTCTCTCTCTCACTGTCTAACTCTGCCTGTCAAAAAAAAAAAATCTCAGAGTAATTAGATGATAATAAATATGTTAAAGAATTAGTAAAATAGAGATCAGGAAGAAGCACCTGGCTCCTGGCTTCGGATCAGCACAGCACAGGCTGTAGTGGCCATTTGGGGAGTGAACCAATGGAAGGAAGACTTTTCTCTGTCTCTCTCTCTCTCACCATCTGTAACTCTACCTGCCAAATAAATTTTTAAAAAATTAGTAAAATATATGATGTGGCAGTCTTAGTCGTTCTGATGTTTTATTGTAATTTGTATAATTATTTGCAGTTCAGTGATATTCAACCCTACTATCTTTCTGTTTCTTGTAGCTGTTGGATGAGCTTCCAATGATCTACAGCTGTTGCATATTTGTGTACTGTATGTAAGTACTTATATTTAAAATTCAATTTATTTTAAAACTTATATTTGTTACACAGTGAATTAATATAGCCAGCCCAGTTATATTACTAGATGAGTATAATCATATAGATTATAAATTTTATATTATTAAAATAGAGTATAAATTCTGGGACATTATGATAATGCTGTTGATTAACTTTTGTGATCTCAAAAGCCTGTAAACAATTTAGTTAGAGTCTTGATTTGACTTACATTGCATAATTTGCATTTGTTATCCCCTTTGTTGGGCGGCCCTATTATGTGGAGTGGGACTTCAATTTGGGTCCTTTGTGCATTCAGTGTCACAAAGCTAGTGATGAAACCAAAGCTGAGCATCAACAGCACGAGCTTTATTCAGTGGCAAAGAAATGGAGAAGTGGGAGCCTCGTACACCAGCCACTTCTCCACTGCTGGGGGCTAAGGATTCATAGGTGCAGGGCAACAGGAATGAGGGGGAGGGATGTACCAATAAGTGGGAAGAATATTCATAGATCTTCTGGGAAAGGGGCGACATAATTATTAGAATAGAGGAGCCACCTTCTTTTTTTCCTTTTAAAATCTCTTCTGGTGGTTATCGTGGTAATTGTCAACCATTTGTGGTGCTGTTGTGTCATCGGGCTTGGAAATTAGATTATAATGAGATTTGCCTCTACTGGTCCTAACAGTTTAGCCTGAGGAAGAACTGTTGACTGCAAGGCATCCTGGTCTCAAAGGGAAATAATGTTATGGTGGGGTAGAAACTTAACTAGGAGGTATAGGAAGGCTCCCTGGTACCCAGGTCCTTGACTTCACTTCAAGAAGGAATTCAGGCATGAGTCTGAGAAGAGCGAGCAGCAAGCGTTTTGTTGAGAAAGCAAAGATACACACTCCAGAAAGTGGAGCCTACACAGAGGTGTGGAGCCCTCACAGAGGGATGTAGCCTCATCTCTGAACTGTGTTTAACATTATGTGAGTCATTTAATAAAAGGAGAGCTGCATTCTAATGAAGATGAGGAATATTCATGGTTTTCCTGGGAAATAGATGGGCAGTTTCCCAAAGTCTAAGCTTCCTCCTCTTTTCATTCTTTATATGATTCAATGTTTCCTGTCCTGGCAGCTGGTATCTGTGTCATTTAGCCTGGTAGTGTATAACAGTTGGCATATAATGAGCTATAGAACAATGCAGTTCAGATTTGGCCCCTTCTCAACTGGTCTGAGCCTGGTCTGATCAGGAGGTCTGCTTATCTTTACTGCAAGGGGCACCAAACCAGTATCCTGTAGGTCTTGAGATAATAGGAACCATTAGCTCCAGGTGGCTCAGCTTTCTCCACCTCCCTGTGTCACAGGTATTATCCTAAGTAATATTTCCTTGAGTAAAGACTGTGTACAAATTTAAAAAAAATTTTTCTATAGTAGGCCACAATTTTTTAGATAAAGTTTTTTTTATGTTAATAGAAACTCTTCAGAAAAAAGGAGTGCATTTCTAGTTGTATAGTGATTGAATCATTTTACTCTTCTCTTGGCTTTGAGCTTATTTATTAAATTGATGCTATTTTGTATAAACTTCTTATTCTAAAAAAAAGTAAATGCTTTCATAAATATGCTTATTTTGATTGACTGGTCAAAAACATAGAAGAGAACAATGTAACAGCTTACAAACCATTCCAGTCCAAAGTTTCCTTCATGGATCATTTCCCATTTAGTTCAATAACAAGCTAATTTTCTCTTCCCGAGTGTTAGGGAAATAAAATCAATCTTGAAAAATAAGTGATTGGGGCTGGCATTGTGATATAGAGAATTAAGCCACTGCCTGCATCCCGTATAAGCACCAGTTCAATTCCTGGCTGCTCCACTTCCAATCCAGCTCCCTGCCAATACATCTGGGAAAGCAGCAGAAGATGGCCCAAGTGCTTGGACCCCTGCACTCACAAGGGAAACCCAGATGGGGCTCCTGGCTCCTGGATCCTGGCTTTGGCCTGGCCCAGCCATGGCCATTGCAGCCATCTGGGGATGGAAGATCTCTCTCTTGGCCTCTCCCTCTCTCTCTGTCTTTTCCTCTCTCTCTCTGTAACTCTACCTGTCAAATAAATAAGTAAATCTTTTTTAAAAAAGAAAGGAAGTGATTAAGAATATTAATAAGTGGAAATATTTATTGACTTTGTATTGTGCTGCAGCATCTCTAATTCTCAACAGTGGTCTAAGATAAATGGGTATTATTCCCATTTTATAGACAAAGTGAAGCACAGAGTTAGTAACTTGTTGTAAGGATGTTACAAGCTAACATTAGGGTTATTCTTATTGAATTGATACTTATTCTTATTGAATTGTAAAAGTTTGTTGTATTTTTGGATTTAGGACATGTCAGATGTTTCTATTTTAAATGTTTTCCTCCATATGGGAATTACCTTTTCATTTTCTTAAAGGTATCCTTTGAAGAACAACAGTTTTAAATTTTTATGAAATCTACTTTATAAAAAAATTACACTAGTGCTTTTTGTGTCCTAGGAGATCTTTATCTTACTCAGGGCAAAAAATATTTTCTGTTTTTTATTTTCTATAAGTTTCTTTAACTTTAGGTTCTACATTTAGGTTCATGAACCATTTTGAGTAATTTGGTATATGAATATAAGATGAGGCCAAGGGCTAGATTTTTCCCTACAGTTATCTGATTGTTCTAAAACCATGGTTTGAAGAAACTACTGTTTCCACATTAAATTATCTTGGCATTTATTTTCTGTTTTCTGTTCTATTGATTGCTGTGTATATCCTCATGTCAGTAGAATACTGTCTTGCTATTGTAGCTTTTTTGTAAATTTTGAGATCAGTAAATCATTTAATTTTGTTATTTTGCAAAAAGCTCAGAAATTCTAAGTAATTGGCATTTCTGCATGAATTTTAGTCAGCTAAAATGACTCTAAATGTGCAGGAATATTGATTGTGATTACATTAACTCTATTGATCAATTTGGAGAGTTATCTTAACAATATTAAGCCTTTCAAACCGTATTTGTGGCATAATTTCTCATTTATGTCTTTAATTTATTCCAGTGGTGTTCTGTGGTTTTCAGTGCATTGGTCTTAAAATCTACTTTGTTAAATTTAACTGTGGTTTTTTTTGTGATTTGGAATACTAGTTAAAAGTACTGCTTTTTTAAAACTTTAAATGCTATTTAAAACTTTAAATGTCATTTAAAAGTGTTGCTTTTTAAAATTTTTTTTAAAGATTTATTTATTTATTTGAAAGAATTACACAGAGAGAGAGAGAGAAAGAGAGAAAGAGAGAGAGAGAGAGAGAGAGAGAGAGAGAGAGGTCTTCCATCCAATGGTTCACACTCCAAATGGCCACAATGGCTGGAGCTGCACTGATCCGAAACCAGGAGCCAGGAGCTTCCTCCAGCTCTCCCACATGGGTGCAGGGGCCCAAGGACTTGGTCCATCTTCTACTGCTTTCCCAAGCACATTAGCAGGGAGCTGGTTCAGAAATGGAGCAGCTGAGTCTTGAACTGGCACCCATATGGGATGCTAGCATGGCAGACAGAGGCTTAACCTAATATACCACAACTCTGGCCCCAATAAAATCACTTTTAGAATAGTGTTCTTTAGTTAGGGATCACTAGTTGCAAGATTAAAGAAACCCGCTCAAGCTAGCTGGAGTTAAGAAAGACTTTTTTTTTTAAGGATAAGAGAAAATTATATGGATCCTAGTAGCAGGAAATACCACCTTACCTCACCAGAACTGAAAGAGCAGCCTCTTCCCTCCCTCTGCTGCATTCCTTCCTCTCTACATGGCTTCCAGTCTTTGAATCTCCTTTCCTTGCAGATTTCTTCTCTGCTCATTCATTCACGCACTTTGTCCCTAAACAACAGACTCAGACCTTAAGTTCACCTATTTCTCTATTTTGACTCTCTATACCTAATTCAATCTCTGGCTGCCAAACTCTCATTTCAGGAGACAGCCTCTTTTTCCCATGTAAGTCAGATGTCTACGACTCCTGATATCTACTCTTGGAGGCTATCGACAGTGCAGATTTTCTGAAATAATAATATGTGTGGGAATAATGTGGGCAGGAGCATATTAATATTTATTCCAAGTTCTTATTTCACACATAGATAAGAATTGTATGTGAAGACAATTACATGGGTGCACAAATAAAAACATTATTTATTGAATGATGAGAGAGAAAGCATACATTCATATATGAGTGTGGGCCACCCCACACAGAGAAATACCCATTCTGAATGGGCCAGAGAGTTGCACAAAATGGGGTGGGAAACCCGAGTACCATCTCCAACCATGGTCCAAGGCAAAATAGAGTACTTTCTCCCATTCTCAGACGTTTTTTAAAAAATTTGCTTATTTTACTTAAAAGAGTTACACAGAGAGAGAAGGAGAGGCAGAGAGAGAGAGAGAAAAAAGTGAGAGAGAGAAAAAATGAGAGAGAGAGAGAAAGAGAGAAAGAGAAGTCTTCCATCCACTGGTTCACTCCCCAGATGGCCACAATGGCTGGAGCTGCACCGATCTGAAGCCAGGAGCCAGGAGCTTCTTACAAGTCTCCCAAGGATTTGGGCCATCTTCTACTGCTTTCCCAGGCCATAGCATAGAGCTGGATCAGAAGTGGAGCAGCTGAGTCTCTAACTGGCACCCATATGGGATGCTGGCTTGCAAGCGGCGGCTTTACCCGCTATGCCACAGCACCACCTGCTCCCCCCCACCCCAAGTATCTTTTATGAGGTGGGAGATGATGCCTTACTATGCATGAAGCCATCTGGGAAGTTTATGATCCCTCCATAAACTTCATGTATAGCTTCATATTCACCTATCCTAATGCCTCTCCTTGTCTCCAGATGAGACACAGGGGCATCTTGGGAAAGAGGTGTCTTTGGTTGATGGATAAAGATTACATTGGGAGACTTGCAAGAACTTCCAGCTCATTCAGACCTAAACTAGCTGCTTAGTTATACCACACCAAGAAGTGATGAGTTCAACTAGATCACAGAGGCACATAGGCGAGTGATATAGCAGCATTTTAGTTATGTTCCTAGTAACATATTCCTAAAAAAATTTCTTTCTCTCTTTTTTTTAAAGGTTTGAATGTTTCAAGAGCAAGAACTCTGTAAACTACCATCTGCTTTTTGCCTTAGTTCTATTCAGTTTAATAGTAACCACAGTAAGTCATATTTTGTTTCTCACAGATTAAGTATGTGAATTAGCCATTTGTGGAGTTTGGCACATTTTACTTCCACTGTTTGCTACATCCTGTTCAAACTGAAATGTTCCTGCACAAAACTGGAATATCTCACAGATGTGCTCCTTTGTTTCCTGTTCAAGTTTTCTTTTTCACTGTAAAACTGAAGTAAGTTTTTAAAATTTGATTTTGTAAAAGTAATAGCAATGCAAGAAAATTAACTTTTATCATGGATGGACATATTACTTCCTATTTGTTAAAAACAAGAGATTGGTTCTGCTCTGTTGGGCTTGCTGTGACTATTTTGATAGGTCATCTCTTCTTCTTCTTTTTTTTTTTTTTTTTTTTTGACAGGCAGAGTGGACAGTGAGAGAGAGAGAGACAGAGAGAAAGGTCTTCCTTTTGCCGTTGGTTCACCCTCCAATGGCCGCCGCGGCCAGCGCGCTGCGGCCGGCACACCGCGCTGATCCGATGGCAGGAGCCAGGAGCCAGGTGCTTTTCCTGGTCTCCCATGGGGTGCAGGGCCCAAGCACCTGGGCCATCCTCCACTGCACTCCCTGGCCACAGCAGAGAGCTGGCCTGGAAGAGGGGCAACCGGGACAGAATCCGGCGCCCCGACCGGGACTAGAACCCGGTGTGCCGGCGCCGCTAGGCGGAGGATTAGCCTAGTGAGCCGCGGCGCCGGCGGTCATCTCTTCTTAATAAGTTGAGCTAGCCAGTCACTTCTGATCTTACCCAAGTGCTTTTTTCCTCAAATGAATTACACTTTTTAGGTGTAAAAAACATGCTCATTTCAGTAAACATTTATTAAAAATCTATAGTGACATGCACTAGAAAAAAAAACGATGACTAAAAGGCAGTTGCTATCCATGAGGAATTCATTCTGTTAGAGAAGTCAGATATGTTAGCAAAGAACTGGATCTAAAGATGATAACTAGAATAGAGAGATAAGAACTGTTATAGGGAAAGTGATAAAGCCTATTTCAGGAGTCAAGGAAAGCTTTATGAAGAAGACACTGGAGCTGGATTTTAACTGATTAGGAGTTTTCCAAACCCCTGGGCAAGAGTGTGATGAAGCATTTCTAGAGTATTCTGTGTCCGTAGACAAAGAGCCTTGGAAAACCCAGTAAACTATTTTTAAATTACTTACTATGTGCCAGATATTATACTGAGTACTTTTCTTTCATTGTCTCATTAAATCATCACCACCAGTAGAATTGGGAGAGATTTTATACAGGTAGAACATATGCAAGTGGGGAGCAGTGATGAGTCCAGTTAATCAAATGCCAGATTTTAAAGACCCTTTGTTATATGCCATGTTTAAAAAGTTGTAATTTTTATCCTCAGTGTAATGTGTAGCCATAACAAGTTTAAAGTAGAGAAAAACATTATCAGAGATTGTTTCAAGAAGATAACTCTGGTTGTGGAGGGTGAATTAGGGCCTAAAAGTTAGACCCAAGGACACTTGCGTTTGCTTTGTAAGATGTCAGACTCAGGGGCTGGTAAGCTAAGCCTCCACCTGCAGTGCTAGCTGTATATCCCATAGGGACACCAGTTCAAGTCCCAGTGCTTCACTTCCCATCCAGCTTCCTGCTAATGTGCTTGAAAAAGCAGCAGAAGATGGCCCAAGTATCTGGGCCCCTGCACCTACATGGGAGACCTGTATGAAGCTCCCAGCTTCTGGATTTGGCCTCTCCCAGCCCAGTCCATTGCAGCCATTTGGGGAATGAACCAGTGGATGGAAGATATCTGTGTCTCTCCTTCTCTCTCTGTATCTCCATATTTGAAATAATAAATAAATAAGTCTTTAAAGATATTAAACTCAGACTAAAGTAATAGGTCTGTAGGAATATAAAAATCTATCATAAATAATAATCTCTAGGACATGTGACCCACTGATGAGATAGTGCAGAAATAGAGTAAGGAAGGAGTTGTCTGGAATGACTGAGTCTTCAGTCAGGATACATAGTATGGACGAGCAGCTTTTGCAGGGAAGGTAATGAGTAGTGTTTTGTTGTAGGTTAGGGATAAACTCAATTAGCAATATGTTGAAGGGGCTGTCATTAGTAACATCTGAATCTTAACAGGTTGGGCCGAAGATATAGATTTGGGAGTTGTCAGAGTATTGGATAGTACTAGCAATGTAGGAATTGATAAACTGACACAAAAAACATAGACCATTAAGAAGAGTACAATAATACAACCCTTTGGAATACTGGCATTTGAGTACCAGACACTTTGGAAGAAACAGAGCCATCAAAAGAGACTGAGAACAAGTTAATAGGAGATGTGGAAAAGCTACAAGAGCCTGATGTCACAGAGTCAAAAATTTCTAGAAGTGAAAATTGTAACATTTCTCTGAGTGAAATGAAGATTGAGAGCTAATAGAAATTTTCAACTAAAATACCAGGTAACCTAAACAAGGATACTGTTAGCATTTAATTGAAGGAAGCAGAATTAAATAAGAGGTTGGAAGAACACATACATCCACATTGTTTTCTTAAATTTCTACATTCGTAGCCAGCGCCGCGGCTCACTAGGCTAATCCTCCGCCTAGCGGCGCCGGCACACCGGGTTCTAGTCCCGGTCGGGGCGCCGGATTCTGTCCCGGTTGCCCCTCTTCCAGGCCAGCTCTCTGCTGTGGCCAGGGAGTGCAGTGGAGGATGGCCCAGGTGCTTGGGCCCTGCACCCCATGGGAGACCAGGAAAAGCACCTGGCTCCTGGCTCCTGCCATCAGATCAGCGCGGTGTGCCGGCCGCAGCGCGCCGGCCGCGGCGGCCATTGGAGGGTGAACCAACGGCAAAGGAAGACCTTTCTCTCTGTCTCTCTCTCTCACTGTCCACTCTGTCAAAAAAAAAAAAAAATTTCTACATTCGTTTGTTTAAATTACGTATTGGTGAATAGTGAGAGAATCCCAGAACTTGAGAAAGGAAAAAAGTCATGTTACTGTATAAAAAGAGAGGATAAAGTCCACAGAGTGTCAGTGGCTTTCCTGGCCAACCAAGTTTACAAAGAAAGAATTGATAGCAGAATCAAGAACAGACACTTTCGTAAGTGAAGAGATGGTGTGTAGTTAGAAACAGGCTTTGGAGTCAGTCATATCTGAGTTTGGATTCAACAATATTATGAATAACTATGGTACCTTGGTCAAGTTATTGATCTCATTCAGCTTTAATTCTCTTTGTATGTAAAATGAAGATAGTTAATCATATACTTTTCACATTAGTGGTAAAAACTAGTTCCTAGGAAATAGTAAACATTCCATAATCATTTTCTTAAAAATAAATATTTAAGACACATGACCTTTTGCATTTGTTTTATTAGTAAAAATGATGATCTAATAGTACTAACAGTATAAAAAGAAATTCGTATTTTTGAAATGAGGAATTCAGATTAAAAGCATTCTTCCTACTGAGTTTAGAGTTGTAGATATATAATATCTTATGCTCATTATATTTTTAAAGGTCTCTGGGTGCCTAAAGGAAATAATCTGTACTCTGTATAGTGAAGAGTAGATACTTTCTCCAGAAAGAAAAACTTTTGTAGCCAAATTGCATTATTATGTAAAATTTTATGATATCACTACTTATTATATGAGGATATAGATATATTTAAGTCCAATCCTTACTATCAAAGAAATGATTGTCTTGTAGGGAAGAGAAACAAATAAATGACAAGTTTATTCCTGGACAATGATATTAGAAAGGAGGATGAATGGTTGATTCTACTAAATAGAGAAGAGATCAGAAAAGCTTCAAGAAGGAGGCATAGTTGGAAGTGACTCTCAAAAGATGAATATTTGCAAATGGGGAGGATTTCTGAACAAAGTAAAGAGCAACATATTTAAAGATACAGAAGCATGAAACACAAATTTAAAGAAGCGTAGTACTTCCTGGAGCCTAGGACAAGAAGGAAATAGGAACATAGCAGTGAGTCCTAGCAGGAAGGCAGGAGCTGTGGAAGGATTTGAACGTCAGGCTGAGAAATTTGAATTTGTCTTGTAAGTGATGATAGTCATTGCAGTCATGATTTATTGTGGTTGATTCCTCTATGCCATGCCATTTAAACATTGTAGGGGAATACATTCATGCTAAATCTTTTTTTTTTTTATCTTTGGCAGGCAGAGTGGACAGTGAGAGAGAGAGAGAGAGAGACAGAGAGAAAGGTCTTCCTTTTGCCATTGGTTCACCCTCCAATGGCCACTGCGGCCGGTGTGTTGCAGCCGGTGCGTTGCAGCCGGTGCATCGCGCTGATCCGAAGGCAGGAGCCAGGTGTTTCACCTGGTCTCCCATGGGGTGCAGGGCCCAAGCATTTTGGGCCATCCTCCACTGCACTCCCGGGCCACAGCAGAGAGCTGGCCTGGAAGAGGGGCAACCCGGACAGAATCTGGCACCCCGACCGGGACTAGAACCCGGTGTGCCGGCGCCGCAAGGCGGAGGATTAGCCTATTGAGCCGCGGCGCTGGCCATGCTAAATCTTAAACAACCATTGAACGTAATTACCCTCATGACATTGGAACCCGAGACTAGAGTTTGTGTAATTAGGACTACATGTGAGTTAGAAAATTCTGGAAGCAAAGCAAAAGAGAGCACAAGAAGTTGGTTCTAAATGTCTTCACTAATGAGCACCCAGTATGTACTACACCATTACACATATTTTTGCTTATCATTCTTCACTATCATTATTCTCCATTATCTATGTATGAAAAAAGTATTTTGGTTAAATTTGTTGAAGATATGTAGTAACTGAATTAGTTGAAATTTAACTCTTGTTTCTGAGTCCATTTATTCTACAGTAGAATATATCTACTGCAGAAATTATCAGCATAACGTATCAGTAGTATTGATGTCTCCTTGTCCATTCTCGGTGCTGATGCAAAGACCGGGAGGCCAGAGTAATGCACAACAGATTTGGAACATTTCATTTATGGTGGCAGAGCTGGCACTTGAGCAGAGCTCCCTGCCCTCCTTTGGCATGTTACCCAATCTGATTGGTTTTACAGGGCTAGAGTCAGGCCTAAGTAGGCAGGGGAGGCAGCATCGGGTTGGAATTTGCAGTATAGTTGGAATAGATTTGTACCCCCTCTCCATAGTGCACTTCATTCACATATGTTTCTTCTAATATTTTGCAGGTTTACCTTAAAGTAAAAGAACCTATATTCCATCAGGTAACTTTTTTTAATTATCACAATTTGATTGCTCAACAATACATGTCTACTTGTGTTTTCCTGTTCTAAGAAATTATATGCAGACACAAATTTTGAGAAATGAAATGGTAGATGTACTAGGAAAGTTCGGTGTGTAAAATAAAGGTTGTGAATTCAAGTACCTACAGGAGCCGGGTATAGGTTACAGGAATATATCTGGGATAGCCAGTGTTCAAATTCAGCTGGTTGTTGGTATTCAGTAAAACAGGTACAGCGTTACTCTTACAGGCAGAAAGAACCAGGAAGCATTACACACTTGCACACCAAAAGGGTTTTTGTGACATTATGATCTAGAAAAGATGGACTGCACATTCCTTAAATATTTTCCCCCAACACATTTTAGTATTTTTGAAGGAGGAGGTTATTTACATTGAAGGAAGCAAACATGGGAAATTGCTATAGAAATTGATGACGACGGCCGGCGCGTGGCTCACTAGGCTAATCCTCTGCCTTGCGGTGCCGGCACACCGGGTTCTAGTCCCGGTCGAGGCGCCGGATTCTGTTCTGGTTGCCCCTCTTCCAGGCCAGCTCTCTGCTGTGGCCAGGGAGTGCAGTGGAGGATGGCCCGAGTACTTGGGCCCTGCACCCCATGGGAGACCAGGAGAAGCACCTGGCTCCTGGCTTCAGATCAGCTCGGTGCGCCGGCCGCAGCGCGCCAGCCGTGGCAGCCATTGGAGGGTGAACCAACGGCAAAAGGAAGACCTTTCTCTCTGTCTCTCTCTCTCACTGTCCACTCTGCCTGTCAAAAAATAAAATAAAATAAAAATAAAAATAAAATAAAAAAGAAATTGATGATGTAAGTGTGTTCCATAAAGAAACTGGAGTTAAAGTTGCAGACTTTAAATGAAAAAAAGCTGTTACTTAGGAGCAGATGTTTTGTGCACAGGCATCTCATATCAGAGTGCCTTGGTTCTTGTTCCAGCTCTACCCTATTCCAGCCTCTTGCTAATGTGCACCCTGGAAAGCAAGCAGGTGATAGCTCAAGTAGCTGGGTCCCTGCCACCCACATGGGAGACCTAAATGAAGTTCCTGGCTTCTGGCTTCAGCCTGATTCAGTCCCCATTGTTGTGGTCATTTGGGGAATCACACAGCAAATGGAAGATAGATCTGTCTATGTCTCTCTAGCTCTCTCTTACCCTCTCTCTCTCTGCATTTCAAATTAAAGAAACTTTTTTTTTAAAGAAAGCTGTTATTTATCCAATGCAACCATGTGCCTGGCACTATGCTCATTACTACACAAACTTCTGATCTCACCACCAGTCCTACAAATTAGAGATTATTATCTACATTTTAAGGCAATTTGCTCCAGGCAACACAGTTACCAAGGGGCAGAGCCAGGATTATTACCTAGATTGGTCTGACTCCTGTCATTATTCTTTTAACAAACTAGCCAACAAAAATAAATAAGCACTCTTCAGGAGTGTCAGAGGTCCTGTATTTTGAAAATATATATTTTTTCTTATATAAAAAAGTTCCCCTTTTTTTTTCTTTTATAAAAGATTTACCTTATTTGAAAGGCAGAGTGACACAGAGAGGGAGAGACATATAGAAAAAGAGATCTTCCATCCACTGGTTCACTCCCCAAATAGTTACAACAGCCTGGGCTGGGCCAGGTTAAAACCAGGAGCTTGGAACTCTATCCAGAACTCTCACATGGGATGCCAGTGTCGTGGGTGGTGGCTTAACCATCTTCGCCACACAGTGCTGGCTCTCCTGTTACCTTTATTTTTTTTTAAGATTTATTTATTTATTTGCAAGTCAGAGTTACACACAGAGAGGAGAGGCAGAGAGAGAGAGAGGTCTTCCATCTGCTGGTTCACTCCCCACATGGCAGCAACGGCTGGAGCTGCACCGATCTGAAGCCAGGAGCCAAGAGCTTCCTCCGGGTCTCCCATGCGGGTGCAGGGGCCAAAAGGTTTGGGCCGTCTTCTGCTTTCCCAGGCCATAGCAGAGAGCTGGATTGGAAGCGGAGCAGCCGGGACTTGAACCAGCGCCCATATGGGATGCTGGCGCTTCAGGCCAGGGCATTAACCCGCTGCGCCACAGCACCAGCCCCACCCTGTTACCTTTAAACTCAAGCTACGGAATAATCATTTAACTGAAATATGTTTTTCAAAATAAATTCCATAACTTCATTTCTGTGCCTTGGTTTTCTCCAGACTAGCAGAATGTAGATGTATTAAAGTAGATACTGCAGGAAGGGACATGATCACTTTATATTTGTTATAACTGGGATAATGCCATTATATACTCTTTCATTGAGAATGATTTTATTAATCCAGTGTGAAAAATGAAATAAGTTGATTTATATGAACACTCAGTTTTTATAATTTTTTGTTTGCCATTATAGAAAAGTAGCCACAAAAACTGAAAACTTGGATTAATGTTTATAATTTTATGATAATCAGTTTTCTATTTGTATTTCAGACCTATTTAGCAGTATGTTTATATAATAAATGAAAGACTGTTAATGTAACTGCCCTTGCTAGAATATCCATGTGTTTTCCAATTAATAAATATTTTCTTCTGTATGTATAGTGGTGATTTTTGCTGATAAAGAAGGGAAGCAGGTGGAACCCAGGCCTAATCCATGCCCACTGTGGCTATGTCATAAGCCTGGAGATTAAAAATCAAAGTAGAGAAATGCAGAAGTAAAGGGATTCCAGGGTGGAACAGATAAATAAACTGAAAGTAAAAGATTTCCGTTCATTCAACAGATATCTACTGTGTGCTTTCTCAATAGCAAATTGTGAAACAGAAGTTGGAGATAGGCATTAAAGACTTCAAGATCTAAGTGAGGGGCCAGCGCTGTGGTGTAGCAGTGCTGGCATCCCATATAGGCACCAGTTCAATTCCTGTCTGCTCCACTTCCGATTCAGCTCCCTGCTAACGTGCCAGGGAAAGAAGTAGAAAATGGCCTAAGTGCTTGGGGCCCTGTACCCATGTGGGAGACCTGGAAGAAGCTTCTGGCTCCTGGCTCCTGGCTTCAGTCTGGCCCAGTTCTGGCCATTGTGGCCATTTAGCAAGTGAACCAGTGGATGGAAGATCTCTCTCTCTCTCTCTGCCTCTCCCTGTCTCTGTAACACTACATTTCAAATAAAGTAAATAAATATTAAAAAAAAAAGATCTAAGTGAAGTAGACTGGATTTAAATCTAGTCTCCTTTCCTTACTAGTTATATACTCTGGACAAATTACTTAACCTCTCTAAATTTTGGTTTCTTCATTTTTCACCAAATACTTTTTAAGTGCTTTCAATTTTCCAGGTACTGTGGTAGTCACAGGAGAAAACCTTAGTGAATTAAATAACAAGATCCCTACTATCAAGGAGCCTATTGTTATACCTTGTCTTTAAAATTGATATAATAACCTCCCATAAAATCCTAGGATTATCTGAGAATTGAATGAGACAATGCATATAAAACCTTTGCCACATAGTAGGCACTCATAAATGATAATTCATATAAATATTTCAAGGCAGATGAGACATGACTTGGTCTCAAGGAGCTCACTGCTAATCAGGAGTAGAGACTTGTAAAAATAACTGCAATATAAAAGCAGTGCTAATTTAGACAAGGGCATAATCTGTCTGCTTAGATGACTCAGAGGAGCTTCATGAGAGTCTTGAAGGGTGAAAAGATGTCACCAGGTAGACAAGTTGAGAAAGGATCTTTCACCCAGAAAGAAATATGTTAAAGCACAGAAGTGTGAACTGGTAAGTCTTGCACATGAAACCGGAGTACAAGTTCCCCCAAAGGTATGTGGTAGCATGCTGAGGAATTATAAAACCATTGACTGCATGCGAACATGGCCTGTCTTCCTGCAACATTTATTTTATTCTAGCATATTGTAGGGGATTACATTTTTTAAAGTTAAAACAAATGTAGGAATGTTACAGAATAGACTATAAAGACCACATGAATTTTTAGGATAAAATAGGAAACTCCAAATGGTGGCTCCTCAAATACATTTTTACAATAAATCTTGGGACCATTGTTGTGCCTGCAATGCTGGCACCCTATGTGGGTGCTAGTTCGCATCTCGGCTGCTTCACTTCCGATCTAACTCCCTACTAATGGCCTGAGAAAAGCAGTGGTGGAAGATGGCACAAAGACTTTGACCCCTGCCACCCACATGGGAGACCCCAAGGAAGCTCCTGGCTCCTGGCTTCAGCCTGGCCCAGCCCTGCCATTGTAGACATCTGGAGAGTGAACTAGCAGATAGAAGATTCTCTCTCCATCTCTCCTTCTCTCTCTGTAATGCTGACTTTCAAATAAGTAAAAAAATAATTTTTTAAAATGAATAGATAAATCTTAGAAAAAAAGAAGGACTCATTGGAGAACTACCTACAGATTGAGGAAGGAAGTGAAAGGGAAAGTAAGGAGACAAGTTTGATTTCTGTTGCACTAATCCATTGAGAAAAGATGAAAAAATACTATAAAATGATACAGAGCAATAAGCTATAGTTATAACAAGTAAATTTATATGATATATGTTAAAATTTGATAAATAAGTGGCTATTAAAAAAATGTTGGAATAGGAGGAAGTCCTTCTGCTTGCCCCCTTCTTCACTCTCTTATTACATTGCCTTCTACTTGATGTTTCACCATAACAAGCATTCAAGACTTTTGCACTTGTTTCTACTGCCTAAAATACTGGTACCACCTGTCTGTATGATTTCTTCACTTCATTAAGGTCTCTGATCAAATGTTAACTTAGCACAGAGGCCTTCCCTGACAACTCTACCAAAAATTACAGCCCATCCTCTATTTTGTTATCCTGATTTAATTTTCTTCTTGGCATGTATCAGCCCCTGACACTGTATGTGTGTGTGTTTCAAATGTATTTTATTTTGTCTCCCATACAAACACAAGCTCCATGAAAGCAAGAAGCTATATCCCCACAGCCTAGAACAGTGCCTGGAAAAAGTTATTTTATGAAAGAATGGGATGTGTACCCATGG